AAGCAGAGTAATTGGGTCGAAAGGAATATATGTGTATGTGTGTGGGGGGGGGGGGGGGCGGGGGGTCTATCTTTAGGTTGGTCCAGAAAGGCCTCTCTGAGGAGGGAGCTTTTGAACAGACACCTGGATGATGATATTGTCATGACATTTCTCTATCTTCAAAACTTAAATTGCTTTTAGGATAAAATATAAACTTTCTCAGTTGATATTCAAGTCTCTTTAGAATGCCATCTTCGTTTTTTTATAGGATGCCATCTTCTTTTTATCCATGTTGTTCCATAGTAGCTTGGTGTAACAGAAAGGGCATGATCTCTATTCCAATGACAGTCCATTAGTAACTAGCTGTTTGATATATCTCTCTCTGAGCTTCGGCTTCCTCATAGATAGAAATGAGGTCTAACAAGAGCATACCTGTAACGCTGTTGCATCAACTGAGACCATATGTACCAAGTGCTGACACAATGCCCACGACATTGTACTATTAACAATGACTTTACCTAAAGATTGACTTTACCTGAACCATTTATTATAGTTCTATTTCTTTTTATTTATTTATTCATTTATTTATTTTATTTATTTTTATCCTCACTTGAGGACATTTTTCCATTTTTTGTTTAGATAGAGTTGGAGGGAGGGAGAGGAAGAGAGAGAGATAGAGAAACATCGATGTGAAAGGGACACATCGAATGGCTGCCACCTGCACAACCAACCAGGGCCGGGGACAAACTGCAACTGAGGTATGCGCCCTTAGCGGGAACTGAACCCGGGTCTCTCTGGACTGCAGGCCCACACTCTAACCACTGAGGCAAACTGGCCAGGGCTATAGTTCCATTTCTTGAAGGGAAGTGCTTTACTACATCCATCTTTTTTATTTGTGTTAATACTTCCAAGATTGCCATTTCTACCCACCCAATGTTTATTTGTGTTTCATGGTCCAACCTAATTGCCACATCTGTTTTCTGGCCTCTAAGTACCATCATCAGTATTCATTCTGGATTTAGTCATCTGCTATGTTATAGTGATTCCTGTTTAAATTTGTCCTTGGAATGGTCCTGTCACCCCATTGAAAGTATAAGTTGATTGAAATTTGAAGGTATAGACTGTATCTTATATTTCTGTTTTTCATAATAATCATCAGAGTGCTTAATATCCAGTAGATGTTCAGTAAATAAATAATATGTTCAAAATAAATGATTAACATCCAAAATGTATGTAGATATTCTGAAAGATAATAAAACATTTAATAACTCAATATTAAGTACAGATAGGATTTAACAGTATTCACAGAAGAAATATGAATGTACAATTAACATATAAAAAGATACTTAATATCATTCATTAGTAATTATAGAAATACACATTGAAACAATAATAAAGCACAAAAAAATTAAAAATATTATTTTAATATTTAGTAAGCATGTGGAGAAATGGACTCTCATATGTTGACGGCAGGAGATGAATTGAGGTAACAACTTTAGAGGGAAATTTGGCACCATCTATTCATTTTAAAACTACATCCCCACTACTAATTCATCTTACTTCTAGGTGTCTATATAGATATCTATCCTGGCACATGTAATCAAATAAGACAATATTCGTGAAAGCACTTTGGAAAGCACAAAATGTTATAAAATACAAGGGAATTTAGAATATAAGAATAAGAATATAGGAGGATGTCTATTACAAAGTAAAAGCAAAAAGAAAAAGAAAAATTATTCATTGGTAGAGGAATGATTAAATAAACTATGGTGTTTCAATATTACAGAATGTTATTCAGGTGTTAAAAGGAATGAAGTTATAGTAAATAGGATGGGTTGACTCACTCATCCTCCACTCTAAGTTTTATTTCAGTGCTGCAGAGATTAGAAGCAAAAAATGACATCTCCCAGACTCCCTTGCAGCTAGGATTCTGGATGCAAATTACATTCTGCCAGCTAGATGCACTCACATGAAACTTAGAAGAGAGAAGCAAGTCAGAGGCCTTCTAAGGCATAAATGAGGCCATGGATTTGTGTTAGTAAAAGCTCACGGATATAGGATGTTTTTGCGGCAACATTCCACTGTCTATTGTCCAGCTTCCTGGAGGCCAAGAAACAATTTTTGAGTAAGCAGAGACCAAAACAGCTTGTGGGTGTAAGGAGGCTGTAGTGATAATATCATTGGTGCTGGTGGCTTTCTGATCCCTAGATCATAGGCATTTAATTTGATAATGCCAGTTGTAGTCTCTTCCTGTGGGTATCAGTTCTCTAGTGTTCTGTGGGTCATCCTTGAGGCTTAGCTTAAAGCCGGCACCACCAGCTTTTCCAACAGTTTTTGAAGTACCTGATATCCTATTTCAAATTCCTTTCTGTTTAGGATAACTTCTCTCCTCTAAACTCTTACTGATATGTTACTGATCTGTACAGAAAAACTTCAGGAAAAACTGAGGGAAAATATGGTATGCACAATGGTAATTCAATATGATACTATTAATACTTAAAAGAAATAGTAAACAATACTTCATATTTTTAATGGTTGCTAATATATATATTTAAATTCATGTATTTATAAATGAAAAGATAAATGAATGTATGAAAAGATATGGAAGAATTCGCAAAACAATTTTTATCCCTGAGGGGAAGGAAAAGCACCAGAATTGAAAGCAATGATTAAAAAAACTTTAGCTTGGCCCTGGCCAGTTTGGCTCAGCAGTTAGAGCGTCCGCCTGCAGTCCAGAGAGACTGGGGTTCAGTTCCCGCTAAGAGCATGTACCTCGGTTGCAGTTTGTCCCCAGCCCTGGCTGGATTGTGCGGGTGGCAGCCACTCAATATGTTCCTTTCACGTCAATGTTTCTCTCTCTCTCTCCCTCCCACTCTATCTGAACAAAATATGGAAAAATGTCCTCAAGTGAGGATATAAATAAATAAACTTTAGCTTGAGTTATAATAGGTTTATTTTTTTCCACAATGATAATGTACGGATACATTGGTTGCATAATTTAAAAAATTTAGATATACTTATGAAATATAAGCTTATCCTTGATGTGGATCTGAGTAAAAAAAATAGTTGGAATTGGCAATAAAATACAGTTTCTCATGGAGTCTGGGGCAAATAAATATGACAAAAATCAAATTGTATTTGTTAGTTTTATATAACTTTCCAGGATGAGATAATAGCTTAATGACAATAAACATAATATCCATGAGAACACAGTGGATAAAATCTCATGAAGGTATAAACTAGTTTTTAAAAGATGGTAAGAGTATACCAGAAAAAAGAAAAGTCCTTGAAGGACATTCTAGACAAGGAGTACACTATTTGGAAAGACCCAATATAGCATGTTTCAGAAATCTCAATAGTGTGATTGGATTACAGGTTAAATGCAAGGGCATGATGGGAGATAAAAAAAAAAAAAAGACATATGTGGCAGCCAGATCTTAATAGTACATTTCATTTTTATTCAGTTGAACACAATGATAACTTCCATTGAAGTAGCCACTAGCCCAGGAACACATAGATGGAAAAGAATCCTAAGAAGTTCAATGTTTAGTAACATAAACAGATGCATAAACAGATGATTTTTACATCTTGTGGGAATTGCAATGACAGGTGCATGCCCTGAGCAATCTGGAGCATCAGCGAGTCATAATAAAGAATTTTTATTTTATTCTCAAAGGGTGTTGAGACCATGGATGGAATAGAGTTTTAAGCAAAAGAGAGATGCACTCCTAGGCTAATTCTCCCTAATTACTGCAATCTCATCTCTGCTTTGATAATGGCTTGTATAAATTTCTCTAATCCTTTTTCTTTCATCAAATGACTGGGAAGGAAAATGTGGGGACAATCTCTCATTACCCTGGCTAGTGATTTTTGCATTATTGATATATATAGATAGATATAGATATATATCATTTACTATATATATCTATATATATATCTCATTTACTATATATATCTATACATATATATAGTAAATCTGACTTAAAAAGCATTAATGTAGGCTTATAAAACTGGAGACAGCCATGGCCGGTTTGGCTCAGTGGTTAGAGCGTCAGCCCGTGGACCAGAGACTCCCGGATTCGGTTCCCACTAAGGGCATGTATCTTAGTTGCAGTTTGTCCCTGGCCCCAGTTGGGGTTGTGTGGGTGGCAACTAGTGGATATGTCTCTCACATCCATGTTTCTCTCTTTCTCTTTCCCCCCCTCTCTCCTTCCCACTCTGTCTGAAGATAAATGCAAAAATGTCCTTGGATGAAGATTAAAAAAAAAACAAAAAACTAGAGATAGTTATTTAATGGAATTCTTATATAATGTGTACCCCTGTATTTAGCAAAAATAAAGTTTTATTTACTCAACCACAAGTTATGAGAGTCAACTGTGACAAATTTTATTTTTATTTATTTATTTTATAAGAAAATGTTTATTTAGAAAGTCACAGAGGTAAAAGAAGTGAGTTGTAGAAGAAATGGGCTCAAGAAACACATTACAGAGGCAAAAGAAGGGCTCTTGGAACTGTGACAAATTTTGTTTTTAAATTTTTTTTTTGTTATTGATTTTAGAAAGAGAGAAAGTAAGAGGGAAAGAGAGATAGAAACATCGATGAGAAAGAACATTTATTGGCCACCTCTTGCATGCTCCCCACTGGGGATTGGGCCCACAGTCTGGGCATGTATCCTGACCAGGAATCGAACCGGCGACCTCTTGGTGCATGGTTTAATGCTCAACCACTGAGCCACACTGGCTGGACACAAATTTTAAATAAAGATAATTTAATTTTTTAAGAAACAACAAAGAAAGCATGATATAATTATTTTATTTTCAGAATTAAACATGATACAGAACCCAATATATTAAAATAACATATAATTATCTTTTCTAGAACCCTTTAACTACTGTAAACTACAAATCTGAAATGTCCTTAACACATCACTGCACAATGTTTCAAAACGAGCTTCTTCTTAAATTTCTGCTTGCTTTGAAATTATGTAAAATGAAAATAAGTAACAAATGAATCAGTGACCTGATTTACTAGCAGGTAGTACTTGAGGCATTTAACAAAAACATCTGACACGATGAGTAAAAAGCTAGTTTGTAATGTCATGGAATAAAAATTGTGCTCCTATGCATCATTTAGTGAAGATTTCTTTTAAAAACATAAATGAGGAATACCATTCAGTGATGTGCTGGTAAGTATTTAACAACCTTGTCCTAGGAGTAGGGAATAGGAGGTAATTTGCAGCATTGGCTAATTTCCATGGTGTAAATATACCATGACCAATTTCAAGCTACCTATATGATATTGCCAAGCATGGATTTCAGAAGATGTGAGTAGTAGCACTCTATTATATTTATCTTTACTGTACATATATAATAGATGTAAATAACCTCAAGACAATACATACTAGTAATATGTAGTAAAATAATTATAATATGATGGGTTTGGGGTATTTGGTGTCCTTAATTTTCAACTATGGTGTGTTTCACAACTGGTGAACATAATCCCTGACGTTTTAACATTCAGCTCATATAGTGGTGCAAGCCAGCTTCAGCCCACCACTGCAGCATTTTAAAATATTAAATTTCAAAAGATTTCACAAGTCTGGATATTTGAAAGGACTGATAATATTCCAGAGGGAATACTTTCATAAAGCTTTTATTTAAAAGCAAAGGATACAATACATTAAGAGAGACTACAGGCAAGCATTGGGAGGCCAAGACATATATAGAGGTGCAAGTTCCCCACAGTCCTTATTCAGACACATACATATTTTGTCTGCAAACTGAACCACCAAAATCTGTTAACTCCAAAAGAGCTCAAGGCAGAAGTTTCCAGCAGAATCTTGGATCTGTAAACAAATTGGCCCAGGGGTTACCATGAAAAGTTCAGAATTTAAACCTCACATCAATCATAATTTTTTTATTAGGAAATTATTTTCAGAGACTAGGGACACTGAGTTGGTTCCACACAGCCCCCTGTCCTTGAGAACTGCACATTATTTTTGCTGCAAGTGAAGGCAAACAAATGACACAAGAAGGACAAGAAGAAAATGTTGGTTAAATAATTACCTAAAAATTATTTTTAAATTCCTGATTAATTTTGGATCTAAACTCTATGAGGGAAAATTGATGAGAGGGTTGCAACTTATCAGCAAGGGTGAAGATTGACTTTAAGCAAATAATTTTTTCTCTCTAGTCTTTAGTTTCTCAGTCTACAAATTGAGAAACTTGGTCTGGCTGAACCTCTGAAATCCCTTCTTCACTCAAAGATTGAATAATTTTATGAGGCACACAAACTATCTCACTTATAAATAAAAAATGAAGGTACCTTATATGTTTTATATATATTTGGTTTAACAACATGCAATTATAATTTTGCAGAATGAAAAATCATTTATTTGGTAGATGCAGCATTTATGTTCTCACACTAAAACAATGTGTAGTTTTTTAAATTCTGAAATAAAAGTTAGGACAATTATGACTATAATGGTAGGATAAATCAGAACTAGGCAATTAATAAAAATATTCTGGTCATCTTTTGTCTTTCTGTTTCCCTATTAGTTAAATAGGTAAATAAATGGATAATGTTTTAGATACAAAAATATTGATAAAGACCTTTATATATTTGTATATAAGAAAATGACTGGCATACCAACAATAAAAAAAAAAAAGATTATGAAGCAACATTTAAGAACAACCTGCAGTTGTCTGTATGTTCCATTCCAGTTACTTGTCCTCAGAGTCCAGTCTTGGAGGTAATCCAATCACGATAAGCAGTGACTCGAGTATAGACACCTGGCTTATTCTTCTGAGCACATCCGTCACCCCAGCTTACTATTCCAACAAGGTGCCAGATATTTCTAGAGTCAGGGTAAACTAGTGGTCCACCAGAATCATTCTAGAAGAAAAGGGGAAAAATGTTTCTTATCCTGTCCAAGAATCTCCTTTGACCCCTCTCTTGGAGTTATCAATACCCCTGGCCACTGAAAACAATTCACCCTCTTTAGGCTTAGCAACTCTGGAAAGCTTGAGCTTGTTCAAAACCCAGGGGAACATTAAACCAGAATCTATTGTCGACAACTGCCCAGTACTGAGTTGGGCACACTAGAACTGACTGTAATAAGTCCATCCTGGACTCTGGAGAAAGTGACTCAGGCTGCTTCTGGATGAGCCTCTGAGGAATGAGTGAGATGCACATGCTGAATCTCCTGCTGCATCTCTGGATAAGAAGGAGGCAGCGCTGTAGATCTGCAGGTTGCCCAGGAAATAGGGCCAAATCTATTTTATTACCTTGTAGGTATTATCATCTGTGTGGATTACTAGACTAAAAAGTCCAGGAGGGCAGGGATTGTCACCACTGCATCCCCTGCACGGAACTGGTGTCTGGTGTGTAAGTGGGGGGTAATAAATATTCATTATATGAACTGAAATAAGAAGGTACTCTGTGGAAATCATTAACACAGAAAAATATTTTGTGGTGATAAAAACTGCCACTTAGTTAGTACTTTGGGAGAAAATGATCTGATGATGTATCTAGACGTACCTGACAGGCATCAGCTTTTCCTGACATAAATCCAGCACATAGCATTTTATCAGTCACCCAGCCAGACAATACATGTGGAGCATTGCAAACTTTGTTATCGATAATCTTCACAAAGGCTTCTTGAAGGATATTTGGAAGGGGACCTAAAGGCAACAAATTCGGCATATTAAGGAGATCTTAACTTTGTTGAGTCAAAGAATATCTATAAAACAAAGCAGAGTCGTTTGGTTACCAGGAGCCAGACCAGTCCCAAGCTAGATTGGTCTCTTCCTTCTGTTTATTATACCTGGCTGCCTCACACAATTCCAATTTTTCCACTTCTCATTCCCAGAGATATCTTAGATATTGAAGACAGTGCCATGCTTTTGGTTCCAGGACTTGATTTTCTTTTTGGTCTATTTACTGATTAGTTAATTGCATGAGAGAGTGATTTGATTGATTGATTGATTGATTATTTACATAATATTTTTGTATTTTTTTTAATTTTATTTTTGTTATAGATGTTTCTCCTTTTTTTCCACCTTGAATTATTTCCACGAACCTATTATGTTTTTACAGAAAAACTTACCATTCATATAAAGTGCTCCCCATCCTGTAACTACAACACTGTCGTTTTCTGAGAGCTTCATTTTGGCTTCAGGAAGACAAATTCTACGAACATGCTTTGAAAAAGAGACTTCTTTGGCAAGCTGCACAAGGGCAATATCATTTTGAATCCCAGCCCTGCTAAAATTTTCATGAGAAATAATGTTTTGGACTTTCTGTGTCATATATGGCTTATTCACTCTAGTTCCAAAGCTGACAGTCCAATCTTCTGGATTAGTTTTTCTGGAGGACAAAATTCAATTAAAATACATTCAGTTTCTGTGACCCAACAGAGTTCATAGTGGTCAAGTTATAGTAACTTTAAGGCATGAGGTTCCCAGATAATACTTAAAGCACTTAAATTCTTTTTTTTTTTTTATCCTCACCTGAGGACATTTTTGCATTTATCTTCAGATAGAGCAGGAGGGAGAGAGGGAGGAAGAGAGAGAGAGAAACATCGATGTGAGAGGTACACATTGAGTGGCTGCCACCCACACGACCCCAACCAGGGCCGGGGACAAACTGCAACCAAGGTATGAGCCCTTAGCAGGAACAGAACCCAGGTCTCTCTGGACCGCAGGCCGACACGTTAACCGCTGAGCCAAACCAGCCTGGGCAAATTCTTCTTTTTAAAAAATGTATTTGACTCATGGATGTTATAAACAATACAGCCACATAAAAATAGTGCTAAGGACTATTAAAGCTGTCAGCTTCTGCAAATCCTCCTAACTAGAGTCACTGATGTCTTCTCCTTGTACTGCAGGCCCATCCAGTCTCTGAACATTTGATTTGGGTAGGAAGCATCCAAGCTGTCTCAGTGGGTGGGGTCCAGGATCACTCATTGCGAACAGCCTGGATTTCGAGAGCTTATGGAGGCTCTGGCATCTTCACACATAAAAACTGCTACTTGTTCTCACCCAATCACCCTATTATGTTTATCAAGTCAACACATTTTGGCTACTAATTTAGATTCTGTGACCCGTTTCTGCTGTTCCCGCTGAACCTTTCTCAATTTAGGACCTAACATCCTGTTAAAAACTATTCTCACTTTCACTCAAAAGATCAGATGCCTGTTTTTTTGTTGTTGTTGTTGTTTATTTTTTAAGGTTTCAAGACCTTAAAGTAATAGTGACTCTCTTCAGTCCTCTACAATCCTAAACCTTCCATGACTCCCCATGCTTCACAGCGGTGTTTGTTAAACTCCTTTCCCTTAGATTCAGCCCAGGTTTCACCTCCAGAGATTTATGTTTAAAAGGTTTAGTGTGATGCTTAAGGATCTACACTTTTGACAAGTCTCCCAGGTGGTCCATAGGACATGGACTACTTTTTGAAAATCATATCAGCGGGACAAATCCTATGAACATGCTTTGTAAGAGACTTCTTCAGTAAGTAAGCATCTGGTCATTTAGAGATGCCCCCAAGCAATACAGATTTTCTAAGCATATTTTCTAATATTTTATTTCACAAAATCCTCTCTACTTCAAATTATTCTTTTTGTTTGCTATCCAGAGAATATAACTTGTGTTATTTCATCTCAACATATTTGAAGAAGATTGTTTTCTCAGGCCAGTACACATATTGTTCTTTGTCATCCACCCACCCCTATTAATCCAATCTTACATCTGTAGGGTCCAGATCAAATTTTATATCTTTATATCTCAGTTGGATATGCTGTCTTTATTAATCAAATTCCCATATCTTTTACTTGTGTTGTACAGAAGACTATTCTATGCTGTCTTATACCTTGAATATATCACATGTAAAAAATTTTAACTAAAATGTAAAGCCCTGAAGGGCAAGAAAAGTAACCACCTAGTAACTGGAGTCAGACATACCTGAGTTCACACTTCATTTCTGTTATTTAAGGGCTATATGATCTTGGCCAAGTTATGCCACTATTTCTGAACTCTAGTTTCCTCATCTTTAAACAAATTTAATTACACCTTCTGTGCAGAATTATTGTTATGATGAAATAAAATAATGTAAGTAAAGCACTTACCGTCAGGCCAAAGTAGCTATTTGCGAAATGAGAATTGTTTCCGTTCACCTTTCTTTTCTTTTCTTTGACAAATTTAAAAATGCTTGATTCCCTTCAATTTTGCAGGTGATTGTAAATATATATGGCCTTGATGCACATTTGTTCACACACTTAGGTTAGCCTCCACAAACTACCAAAAACAGGCCAGCACCCAGAATCTACATATAGTCAGACCTTCGTACTTACTTGGTAAAGCAGTGAGCTGCAGATAATAGCCACCTGCTGCTAATCAGAGATGCTCCACAGTGGTGTTGGCCCTTCCACTTCATACTGGCCTGCCATGGCCACACCCCTGTTAAGGCGTTTTTCCCATTCACAATGCGGTTGCCTGCTCCGATAGTACTGACCAGTTGTCTCCCACAACCTGAAGAAAGAATTTATTTATACAAGAACAGGTATCTTTGATAATGCTTTATAAGCTGTGTATCTTAAAACATTAGTTGAAACCCTTTATCAACTGTCCAGCATCTCCTAAATGATGCTCTTTCCTAGAATGTACTGTTATCACAGTGCCCAACTCCATCTTGGTTTCGGTGGATTCTACATATCTTCTTTTCCCGTCTCAAGCATCTTTCAACCACTGACTTTTATTGTATTTATTTGTTTTCATTCTCATCTCTCTAGGAAAATTGCAAAATTTTCTAAAGTGGAGACTTTGCTTCATTAATGTCTACATCTTGCATAGAATATGTAGTGCTTTCTATAAAGACCCTTGTGGACAATAGATACTCCATAAATATCTATTGAGTGCATGAATGCAAGCTTATTTCTTGGGGGTGGGGGAGCAACATGATACTCTAGAGAGAATTTATTCAAAAGGTACAGAACTGCCGTGGCTGGTTTGGCTCAACAGTTAGAACATTGGCCCGCTGAACAAAGAGTCAAGGGCATGTACTTCAGTTGCAGTTCAATCCCTGGCCCTGGTCGGGGTCATGCAGGAGGCAACTAGTCAATGTGTCTCTCTCACATTGATGTTTCATTCTCTCTCCCCCACTCTCACTCTATCTGAAGATAAAATCTGAGGATTAAAAAACTTAAAATTAAATAATAGGTACCAAACTATTTTTTATCAATAATAAATATATTTGATACAGCATCGTTTTTTATTTTCTTATTATCTGAAATCATCCATTTTTCCCTCCACTCTGTCTTATTTTAACTTAGTCAGAATTGTATATATTTTTTTTATTTTTTAATTAATTAATTTTTGGAACAGATGTTTCTCCTATTTTCCCCCACTGATTCCTCCCTCCCCACCCTGTCCCCAGCTTTGTTGTCCATGTCCATTGTTCATGCATACATGCATGTAAGTTATGTGGTTTATCTCTCTCCCACCCCACCCCTCTTCTGGGGATTGTCGGTCTGTACCCCACTTCCACATCTCTGGGACTATCCCATTCCTCAGACTGTTATGTTCATTATATTCCACAGATAAGTGAGATCATATGATACTTGTCTTTCTCTGTTTGGCTTGTTTCGCTTTCCAGGTCCCTCCATGTCATCTTAAAGTATAAGAGATTTTTTTTTCTTACAGCTGCATAGTACTCCATTGTGTATATGTACCACAGTTTTCTTATCCATTCATCTACTGATGGACACTTGGGCTGTTTCCAGATCTTAGCCGTTGTAAATAGTGCTGCTACAAACATGGGAGTACATATATTCTTTCTGATTGGTGTTTCAGGCTCCTTAAGGTATATTCCTAGAAGTAGGATCACTGGGTCAAATGGCAGCTCAATTTTTAATATTTTGAGGTAACACCATAGTGTTCTCCACAGTGGCTGCACCAGGCTGCATTCCCACCAGCAGTGTACTAGAGTCCCATTTCTTCACACCCTCGCCAACACTTGTTTGATGATTTGTTGATGGCAGCCATTCTGACAGGTGTGAGGTGATACCTCATTGTTGTTATAATTTGCATCTCTCTAATGATTAGAGATGTTGAGCATTTCTTCATATGTCTCTTAGCCATTTGTATGTCCTGTTTGGAGAGGTGTCTATTTAGTTCCTCTGCCCATTTTTAAATTGGGTTCTTAGTCTTCCTTTTGTTGAGTTGTATGAACACTCTATATATATTGGAGATTAACCCCTTATCTGATATATCATTGGCTCTCCCATACAGTGGGTTGCCTTTCCATTTTGATGGTTGTATCTTTTGCTGTGCAGAAGCTTTTGACTTTGATGTAGTCCCATGTGTTCATTTTCTCCTTTGTTTCTGTTGCCTTAAGTGATATATCAGTGAAAACAGAATTATTTTCCTAATTCATAATTCAGTTATTTGAAATCAGTTCTTATTCATCCTTTTGGACAATTCCTTACAAATGTTAAAATCCATATGCCATTGTTTTTCAAAAAGAAATTGCAGGTATATATCCAATAATTTTGAAAGATGACTATGGATTTTTATGTGATTTACTTCAAGATCCTTTTTAATAAAAAGGTGGAGAGATATTTGTGAATGTGTTAAATTTACAATAAAGTTTCTAAACTTACATTTGTTGGTAAGCATTTCAGCATTAGTCTTGCTGATTTCTGAAATTTAAAAGACATAAAATTGATAAAATATCACTGAGCAATTACCTTCAATCCAAGGATATAAAGACTAAGTTTTCTAGCCCAGTTACAACCAACATTTAACTATTCAGAATTTCATGTATAAAGAGCTCCTCTCACTTTTACTTGTTATATATTGACCATCTCTCCACATCTCTATCAGGTATAAGAAAATGAAATAAAAAACAAAGTTCTCAATTTTATAATAGTTGTAGTAAAATATTTAATGAGGCAAAAAACCGAAAAAAGGACTTGGCATTATCTTTGAATTTCTTTCTCTATGATAGTTCTATTACTCAGAATTATATCTATTATAAAGAAAAGGTCCCGTTAAGATTATATTTTATTGGATCTGCCTTGCTCTTTGGGATCACCTAATTACTAAAACTGAATTCTTAAATTTTGAGAATTTAACTTAAATTTGAGTCTCTTTTCTATTGGGAAGAGCCTGTAGGGAGAAGGAGAAGAGTAGGGAAGACACACCGAGAAGTGCTGACTGAATCCCTGGGACACAGGAACAGTAACTAGTGCAGCCACCTTTCCCGACAGCTACTCACAAAGAATTGTATTGCTCCTCTGAGAATTCTAGTTTAAACTCTCCTCTCATCAGTGGCCCACTGGTGTTAGGGTTTGCATTCTGAGTCAAAGGAGCTATAACTGGCAGCTGGCAGCCTTCATAGCCTTCGAGGACCCTGGGGTCAACGGTTGGTCTGGAAGAACCACAAAACTGGGCTCTGTAACCAGGTGTGTTATCTCATAACTGGCCCTTTAACAATATAAGTAAGAGTTTCAAGACCTTTTCAGGACCTTGAAGATCTTTAAAAACTTCACTTTCTATACTGGGTCAAAGTCCTATCATTTTTTTCCCTTGTTTTCTAGAGAATTAGTCCAGACAAATTTTTCTCTTTAACACTGTTACTCCCATTCTTCCTCCAGAAGCAATGAAGATTTTCTTACTACTAAAGTCTGAGTGATCAAAAAACCCTAAATCTGTTTCCTGCAATGAGATCCTGACAAGAGTGAGGGTAGGGGGAATAATGCTTCAATTTTAAGTCTTCACCACATTTTCCATACATTAACAACAAACCCTTCCAAACTTGCATCCTCAGTTTAACCCTCATTTTAATCATTCTTCAGACAAAAATGCTATGGTACCACCCCATCTATGACCAGTGCACTGTGGAGTGCCAGACTTTGGGAAGCATATTTTTGTCCTAAAGAAATTCCTAAAACTCTTGGTTTATTTTTTTCCTAGTACTCTCTTTTTAAATAGTCCATAAACCCAAGTAATAGAAAGTAATGTAAATAAATTAAATACCCATAAGTTTAACGGAAGCTGGAACTGCATGCCAGGATGCCATGTTGTCTTTCAACATCTTAAGTAAGATAGCTTTGATTTCAGCCTTTATGACCTCCCTCTTTGCCGGAGGAAACTTGAATGTCAGGTGCAACTGTACATTTGAACCATTGGGATAAGGGCTAGAAATAGCAGAAACAACAGTTCCAGTGTGTTACTTTTTTATTTTTTATATGTTTTGTAAGCACATTGAATTCCTCACATTTTAATTATTATATTTTCTTTACATATATTAAAGAACAATACACAGAAATTGTTTTAGTGTATTTAAAGTGCCAGGGTCCCCCCAAATCTTCTAACTGCTTCAGAGGTATTGTGCATGGAGAAAGATGTGAACCACAAACTAGAAATCAGAATACAAGGTGGGAAAAAAGTAGGTTTACACTTGTTCATATGGAAAAGAATACAATAATTAATAACTAATAGTACGATTAACTCTTTTCCATATTCACAACTGTAAACCTACTTTTGCCCAACTCTGTTTTTAAACACATAGGAGACACTGAGTACTGGCCAATAAACAATTAACATGAGATTTTATTATAACACCGTAAAAATCATGTTCTCATACAGGTATTTTTGAATAACTGAATTTTAGATTAAGAGATAAGTGAGAACTTAAATGTAGAGCCTGGAAGCATTCACAAGAGAACTTCTAAAATATATTCAAGAGCCAGTACTAAGTCCCCTTTTTTAGTTTCTTATACATGTCTACTCCATGAGAAATCTATATCATGAGAAGTCTCAGAAAAAAAGATAACTCTAAAACATGAAGAGAATCTCCATTATTTATACATTTAGCACATTCTTTTTATTAATCAGGAAAGAAAATATATTCATTTTGGAAGACTTTAAAACCAAAAGCCATAATAATCAGTTTAAAAACACACACACACTCAACTGTATTTTCAAAAAAATATATCAAAGGAAGAGCCTTTGAAGGTTTTGTTTGTCTGTAGGTAAGTTGTTTGGTTGGTTGGCATTTGGCCAACCTGGATTTTTTTATTTGTTTTGTTTTGAAGTTCAGACTTCCCCAGAATTGATATTAGCAATTATCAAAATATGTATTCTCTTTATCATTCATCCCCTATGCTCCATGTACCCTCCTCCTTACACCCCTCCCCCCACCCTCAAGCACTCTTCAAAGACATATTTAAACAAATGTTATCTTAAATTATTCACTTTGCTCCACAGTTATTACACTAATGGTAATACTAAAGAGACCAAAAGAAGATTATTTTAGGAAAAGCATGTCGAATGGATATGGATGGAAGAAGAGATGGGTAATATATGGGTAGCAAAACAATCAAGTTGGATTCCTTGTTTTCTGTAGAGTTACAATTATCTTTTATCATAGACGTCTGTTAGACCTGCCTGCTAGGAACAAACTTGCAATTCCCGTTCAGGTGTAAGATTACAGATTTGTAAAGAACAGTTCCTATCATTAACAGAAAGTTGTTAAATACAATGATACTTTAATTTATAGAGAACTCTTCCTTCCTTCCTTTCTTCCTTTTTTTCTTCTTCTCTCTCTCTGTTCATGTTGTTATTATATAAAACCAGGGCTAATGTGACATGTCACCTACTTCCCTTTCAATAATATGCTGAATAAATTTGTACTTACAGAAGTTTGATGACCTGAGAGTTGATATATTCTTTGTATATGTTAGAATTTTGAAATTCATCAAACATCTGTCAGGAGAAAAAAACAAAAGAGCCACCATGTCTATTTCAATCAAATATATAATACAATTAATAAAATAAATTACCAAATTACCTTAGTCTCAATATCTTTGCTTAGATTTCTGCTAATTTGTGAAGCTACATTTTCACAGCTATCATTGTATGTGACTCCAGAAATAAGAAAATCACCTTGGTAATGGTAAATCTTTCCTGTGAAATAAAAAATAAAAAAAATACTCAAAGAATTTTAAGACAAATATTGGCCTCAAGTCCCTCCACATCTTTGTCTAAAAATTAACATTCAACTTAATACTAGAAATAACCAGAGGGTCAGAGAAAGGAAGAGGAGGGAAATAAATGGGAATTAATATTCAGTTATTCTAGAAATGTCAACTACCCAGCATTCATAAAGTGATCCCTCTCCTTTCTTCATAAGATAATAGGCATCACTGTCCCCCAGCATCCTCCTCAAAGCATTAATCTAGGCAGCTAATAGCAATTTACCCAAATATGCACTAGAGATGAAATGTATTTGTCATGTGTAATCTAAATTCGTAGCCTAGTAATCACCCAATTAATCATTCTAAGCAGTTCTGATACAGGAAACACTGCAAACATCTCCCTTCACTTTCTGGATGATCTACATCCACTTGCACCCTTTCCTATGCCCTATAGCCTGTTGGCCTGCTTTCCACTCCTTGAAGTCATTCCTGTAGGACTTCATGCTGCCCTTGCACTTCACTATAGCATACAGTGGCTGGTACTTGGCATGTGTCACAAGTGTAAGAGTTCCCATTCCTTCCTGTCCCCAAATGTAAAACATGACAAGCCTACAGGTAGCTCTTCCAGGTTATATATGTACTTTTAAAAATAGAAACTAATAGGAAATGGTATCCTGTGTTGGTTAAGGATTAACCATTCACATATTTTGAGAATAATTGTGCTTTTGAGCCACTTTAAAAAGCATCACGTAGTATCTAAGGAGTGCCAATAATAGACTTTGAAAAATATGATCACCTGAGCTATAATAATTCATTGTCCTAGAAGACAGAAATATCATTTGAACCTAAAATAAAAATTAGTTTCTTCTATTCTTATAGTTTCCCGTATTTTTTCCTTATGGCAGCCAGTGCATATAAAAAAACAAGTGCCAGGTTCTGTCTAAGAAGTTACCTAAAGTCGTTCTGAAAAGAGTGAAGTATATAAAGTTAGATAAGCTAGTTCAGTTTGTTAAATATAAGGTGACACAAATTGGCTGTGTCACCTTGGCATATCATTTTAGCCCTCTGGGATTATTTTCACTAATTACAAAGGCTAAATTACAATAAATAAATTCCAAGATCCTCTTTTTCCTACCATTTTATAATTTTAATCTGTAACATTTATCACCAAACAGAATAAGAAATAACTAGAATCTTTAACACTATAACATTCAGTATGCTGAACTTGGGTACTTGCAAGTAGCAAATTAATCTGTCATTACCAGAACTGAGCCAAGAAGAGTAGGGATCTCTACAGTTTGAGGTATATTCACTAAAAGATATAACAACTCAACTGCAAGCCTACCTCATAAGCTCCTTTATTGACAATAAATATTAGAATCAAAGTATTGAATATTTCAATCTTGCCATATTTCCATAGTTGATGATACAACTTACTGAGTGGATCAAGGAGGCATTTAATTAAAAAATCTTTATAAACTTTGGTGTCAAATGATACAAAAGTATTATGTTGAAATAAAATACTAAGTAAGTAATACATTTTATACAAATAAATTTAATATTTATGTTGTTTCTCAACAATTCCTAAGTAAAAGGAGATTTAGTAGTAAGGGTGAAAATTGAAAATAGTTAATACTGACCAACTGCCAGAAAATGAACAAGGAGACCAATAGTTACTCCCAAGATTGCCACTATTCCAAGAAAAATAAGGATCGTCTTACATAGTGGCCAAGATCTTCTCTGAGAAGCCGTGCCGTACCTATGAAAGGGGGAAAATAGCTCAAGTCAGATGATAGACCTTCCAAATCTACCTGTCTCTCCTACCACTCATACAACATGATTTATAACGTATACATTAGGCCTTTATATTAACTGAAAGCTTAGAAGCCTCAAATGCCTCAAAATGAATATACCCTAATGCTCATTCTTTTAACAAATTATATTTAACTATTATATTAACTGTGGGGATACAGCTATGAGCAAAATAGACATGGTTTGTGTCCTCATGTTATGGGGAAAAACTGATTTGCTCTTTTTATTTACCGAAAGCCGGTTACATAACATTAGGTGTGGTCTGATTGTACTTTTCTAAACTATAGCCACATCATGTACAAGGACATATATAGATTTATAAACAAATACATAATATAACCATTTGTAAGTTTTAATTAAATGTGGAAGAAAACATCATGATGCCAACTGCAGTTATCCCATGTTATGAGATCATGGATAGATATTTTTCTTGTCTACTTTTTTTAAACTATATTTTCTAATGTTTCTATAATAAACATGGATTATTTGTATAATATAAACTAACATATAGGTAAGTTTCATTATCAAAACAAATAAAATAGATAAAAATAATCAGAAAATACAGTGACTTGGCGACATAGAGTGATCTAAAGTTACAGTTAAGTCTATGGTCACTCTTAGTCTAATCTATATAAGGTTTGAGTACTAGTTATTCTTCATATCTTAAAAGACATGATGTCATGAAATTGCTCATTTGAAGGAAAAACTGTAACATTAAAATTATTTCTGGTTTCAAATTCAAACTAGGCTCAATCTCCTTGTATTCTGCCTCATCCTAAACAAAATGTATAAAACAAAGGAGTGTGAAATCAGCAGATATTTTTGAAAGGTTAAATATCTCCTATGAATATGAGCATCTTTCTTTTTGTTCCAAAGCCTGAAGGACCAATTGATTTTAAGGTAGAGAAAATTTCATTTGTTTTTTACAATTTTTTAAAAACATTACTTTATGCCACAACTGTATAACTCCACCAGTCTTACTTCCTCTCTGCTCTGTTCTTTATTCTTAACCCTACCTCTTCCTTATATCTTTTGGTAACTTATAATTCATGTTTTTAAGAACTAACACCTCTTCAAAAAAAATTCCCTATTTCATGTATGCTTTCATACTGAAATTCTATTGTTATTCTCATACTCAGAACAAACAGCTATTCTGCCAGTGTCTCTTATACTAAATAAATCACACTTTAAAAGAAATATACAATTAAAGTAATTAATAATGATATTTTTAATCTTACTAATATCTGAGAATATGTTTCTTTTAATGACTAGCAGTTCACTGTGATAGCGAGGTCTCAAATTTGTTTTGGATTAGCCAGTAGTAACTTAGACCAGTAGTTTAGTCTTTCTGAGACACATATTAGTTTGAGGGACTCAAACATTATGTAGCCTAAATGATGATTCTAAAGTCATCGAGATGGTTTCTATACAAATAATAACTACATAACAGCTTATAAAATGTTTTTCTATGAACACCCTTTGAGATGCTCTGGAATGTCCTTTTAGATGTTCTAAAGAAAACACATTGCTGACTATTGCACCAACATGGCTCCCCCAACCCATTATGGATTTCTTCCTGTCATAAACAATTAAGGAGATTCTCTTATATCTAAAAATCACAGTAGCTTATGATTTATTTAACCTTTCCTTTAGTAAATGTGATGCATGGACGTTGGAATTATTATTTTGAATAATAACTAAAACTGTTAAAATGTTCTAAATACCAAAAATCATTCGTTTATGAAACAGTTTACTCTTTTATTTACCAAATGAATTTTTGGTCATAGTTTTTTTTCTTTTTTAATGTAGGGATTTGTATTCCAGGATAAACCCCTCATTGAACAAAGAGAATAGGTTAAAAATTAATCTTCAATGAATTTAACCAACTTTATATACTTAACTGGACTATAATAGCCTCACTTTGGGATTGAATTTACTTAAGTAAAGGCTCATTGCTATTCTGGCATAATCAAACATTCACTTTAATCAAATTACGATAATAATATGCATGCAAATAATAGTAACTGCATTATTCACAATTTTAAAACATCAATCTCACTAAAATTTATCCCACAATTGATACCAGGTATAGTTTCCTAGATCATATTTTTTTATAACCACATTCTGATATTACATTAGCAGTTAAACTGCAAAGCATAACATACTAGTTTTCATTTATTAGAAACTAGTATTTCATTTATCAGCTACAGACCATTTGAATTAGGTGCACCTAAATTGTTATATAGTGAAGAGAGTTAACATAAGATTCCAGTGCAAAATTCCCCAAATTTTATAAACATTTTTTTTTTTTTTTTTTGTCATATAGGACTTTATCACTAAGGAGAAAGTTTTGAATGAGTTACAGAGAAATTAATGATCAAGTGAGTTGAAGGCCTTCTCTTCCAACTTTCTCCTGGAACTCTAAAAAAATCAGAATACCTTAGAAAGGGATCTCATTTAAATATTTATGAAGAGTTGAAGAACCCCAGAAGTTTGCCAGCTGCAAATTCAGGATGTGTATTATAAAGTACATTATTCTGAAAGTCTATAAAGACATTTAGAGTTTTAAATTATTTCTATAAAAACATTTTTATATTATAAAATATGATTTCAATTCTATTACTAGAGAACAAAAATGATAATGTTCTTATAGGTGGTTATAAAAAAGTAAAGAAAATTTTGCTGAAATCTGATTCTTTTTCTAACTTTCTGAAACTTTCCTAGAGACTTTGCAAGACCTTTAGACCAAGAATAATAGCAAGTTTCTTGACAGCATCCAGAAAAGAAAATCTAAATTATAGAAAGCAGCCCATTAGCAAAAAGCTAGAAGGTGTTCTATAGTAACTTGTTAGGGTTTACAGACTTAATTTCCCAAATAAAATCCCATTTACCTGTACATAATATTCTGATTGTTGTGGTGGTTTCAGGGGAAATGGTGGTGATGATGACAACGGTGATAAAAGAAGGATCTTCTTGTGTAGTTCTTTAGGTGATCAGTGTTTCACAGGTTTATGTGCTATACTCAGTGGTTTTTGGTTTGTTTTTATAGGCTGGGTAAAATGCAAAGAACAAATATGATGAAACTTGTCTGACCAGTGTTAAAGACTGTCGTGTTTCTATAGTTTAAAGATAGGAGTCATCCAAGGAATGACAAACTTCCTTGACTTGGTCATCTGGAAAAAAAAAAATAATAGCCTAGTCTTGTGTTAGTCACCTAAAAAAAAAAAAAGTTACACCCAAAAAAAGAGCTTTGTGACAAATTGAGATAATCCTAAATCTGTCTGACCAATTCCATTCTAGTGGCTTCTTCCTCCTCAAGTGAAACCAACTAAACCAAGTAGAAGTTTCTGACAAATGACTTTCCACAAAGCATGAATTTCAATATAATTACTATTGCCATAGTTCTGATGTAAATGAAACTCTATTTCATTTTGGTTTGCATTTGCTTCTCTCTAATTGCCAGTGAGAATGATCATCATTTCACATACATTTTTGGGGGTTGGGGGCTGGGTTTTCTCTTCTGAGATACTTGTTCATAAATTTAGCCTTTTTTTTTTTGTTGTTGGTTGTATATCTGTTTTCTTATGGATATATATGAGATCTCTATAATATACTGAATATTACAGTTCTTCATGTAAGGTACTTGGAAGTCACTCCTCCATCCTAACAAGTACAAAGTTCAATTAACCACATTTTCACAATAAATATTGAAGTAAAATTCCTTTGGGCTTCTAACTGGGGGAGGAATAACTAAACTATTACAGAGCACTCTTCTTCTTAACAAGGTCTGCTATGCGGAGTAACTAGTTAACCAGAGTCTAACCTTCAAGGGTGTTATCAGAGCCTTTCTGACCTGGAGAAGGGAAATACCCAACTTCAGACCATTCTAGCTGTCCTATTCTACTGAGACCAGGGAAAAGACTAAGAAACACTTGTGACATTTACAGTCCAGTCACAGGCTCACTAAAAGACTGGACCTAATCATAGAGCTATAGAATACTTCCTGGGAAGTGTTGCCAAAGGCCTATTGATAGCAGTTCCTTTTACCTGGTACCTCATATTCAGTTGTCAAAAAAAAAAAAAAAAAAAATACAGTGCATACCAAATGATAAAAACACAATTTTAAGAGATAGAGCAGTCATCATCAGAATCAGAAACTATAGGGATATTCAAAATTTCAGACCAAGCATTTAAAACAACTGTGATTAATATGCTAATTAATAGACAGCATGCAAGAACAAATAAAAAATGTGAACAGAGGGATGAAAATCCTGTGAAAGAACCAAATAGAAATGCTGGAGATAAAAAAACACTAACAGCAATGGAGAATGCCTTTGATGGGACATAAAGACATTGTATGTACCTAACATACAATGTGTATGTACCTAACAACGGAGTGTCCAACTATATGAGGCAAAACTGATCAAACTGAAAGGAGAAACAGATGGATTCATTATCATAGTCAGAGATTCCAATACCCCTCTCTCAGAAATGGACAGATCCAGCAGGCAGAAAATCAGTAAGGGTTTTAGCTGAACATCAGCATCATCAATCAAGTGAATATAATTGGTATCTATAGACTACTTCATCTAACAACAGCAGAATACAGATTCTTCTCAAGATCACGTGACATAGTCACCAAAATAAACCACATTCTGGGCCATAAAACACACTTCAACAAATTTTAAAGAAGTCAAACAGTGTCTGCTTTCATAATAGACAACTGGAAATCCTAAATTATTGAGGATTAAACATATTTCTAAATAATACATGGGTTAAAGAGGAATCTCAAGAGAAATTTAAAGTATTTTGAACTAAATAAAAACATAAACACAATTTATCAAAATGTGTTGAATGCCGTGAGAGCAGTGCTCAAAGGGAAATACAGAGCATTAAATGTATATATTAGAAAGACAAAAAATTTCAAATCAGTAAGCCATTGTAGGAATCTAGAAAAAGAAGAGTAAGTTAAATCCAAAGTAAGCTGAAGAAAATAAATAATAAGAGGTAGAGCCGAATTCAATGAAACTGAAAACAGGAAATAAATAAAGAAAAGCAATTAAATCAAAAGATGGTTCTTTGAAAAGAGCAATAAAATCAGTAAGCCTCTAGCCAGGCTAAGAAAAAAGAGAGGATACATATTACTGATAGCAGAAATCAAAGAGGGAACCATCACTACAAGTCCCATGGACATTAAAAGGGTAATAAAGGGCCTGGCCAGTGTGGCTTAGTGGATTGAGTGTCCTCCCATGGACTGGGAGGTCCAGGTTCAATTCTTGGTCAGGGCACATGCCCAGGTTTGCGGGCGCAATCCCCAGTAGGGGGCATGCAGGAGAGAAATATTGCTGTTTCTCTCTCATATTGATTTGTCTATCTCTCTGCCTTCCTCTCTCTCTAAAAAATCAATAAGAACATTTTTTTTTAAGGCTAATAAAGAAATACTACGAACAACTCCATTGCCACAAATTTGATAATCTTGATGAAATGGACCAATTCCTTGAAAGGCACAATCTACCAAAATTTACATCTACATGTGTGCGATGTGTTTAAGAATTCTTTGCCTTCCAGTGTGTCAATGGGGAAAAAAGAAGGGACATCTGTAATTTATTTATCAACAAATAGATAAATAAATTTTTAAAAAAGAACAGAATTCTTTGCCTTCCATAAAGATATTCTCCCACATTTTTTTAAAAAAAACTTTGTGTTACCATTGCACTTAGATCAACAGTTTACATAAAAATTAAGTTTTGTGTGCATTATAAAGTAAGAATAAAGACACATTTTTTTATATAACTATTTGTTGATTCTGTACATCTTATTGAAAATGTACAAACACAATCCTTTCTTCACTGCACTGCAATGCTACCTCTGATACATCAAGCAGATATCGAATGTGGGTCTGTTTCTGAAGTTTTCATTGTTTCTTTGATTTGTTTCTAATATCAGAAATAGCAACTATGGACTGGTGTGGTTCTCCAACTTTCCATGTTAGCCAAGAACAGACTTTCTTCCATTTCTACAAAGCCTAAAATTTTAGTATTTATGTCATCTTTCTACTCCTGGCTCCATAACCACAAAAACACATATTTCATGTTACTTTTATGGTCTTATTGAATCATCATGCTTTAAATGAGTGAGTTACACAATGTGCACTATTCAAAGTGATACTGCACACAAAATGGGTCTGGGCTGCCTGTCACTACTTGAGCCAAATTAAGCAGAGATAAGGTTGAATTGTATATGAGCATGTATTTCAATAATGCCAGCAGTTATGGAGAGAGCATCAGATCATCCTGAAAATTCTGCTCTCCCACATTTCATTTCAAACAAACTCTTATATAGGGTTAGTGGGTGGGAAAAAATCTATAGTGAGTTCTGAGGGTCTGACTTCTTTCATTGTCCTTGCAAAGATTAGCTTCAGAACGCTGCTTCCCTTCAGACTGAATCTGTCCTTGATCAGGGCTACAGGCTGCCTTATTTCCAGGTCCTGTTCTTCTTGTAACACGTTCTTCAGTTTCCCAGGGTCTGTAAAAAAACCTCTTTTTTATTTTTTCCAAGTTAATACTTTATTTAATCATTAACATATATTTTTTTATTTTTTATTTATTTATTTATTTTATTAATTAATTTTTGTTACAGATGTTTCTCCTTTTCCCCCCACTGATTCCCCCTCCCCCCCTCCCTGCCCTTTCCCCAGTTTGTTGTCCATGAAAACCTCTTTTTTATAGTGAGTAAGTATTAAACAACTGTGATTCTTTTTCTATTGTGTGCCCCTCCCCTATCAAAAGGACACTCCCATAGACTGCATGTTCCAGTTTCAATTCAACCATAAAGTCGTAATGTCAATTTGGAAATAATTAATAAAATGCTCTGTAGCAACTGGAATTATCCACCCCGTGACAGCATTTCCTCATTCTGGGTTTACATTTTTCCCAAAAGCGTTATTATAATATTTGCATCTAAATCCATTTGCTTTTAAAATCCTCAGAATGATTCAGAACTATTTTAAGACTTTCTTCTGAATCTTCTAAAATAACGGTGGCCCACATTAATTTTATTATTTTCTGTATAAAATTCCACATACTTCATAACAACTAATTATTATTTATTTTTCTATTTGTGTGAAACTTGTTTCTCCAAGTAGATTAGAAGGTCCTGAGTGTAGAGTTTATGTCTTATACTAACTTTTTTTTTATCCTCACCCGAGGACATTTTTGCATTTATTTTCAGATAGAGTGGGAGGGAAAGAAGGAAGAAGAGAAAGAGAGAAACATCGATGTGAGAGAGACACATCAAGTGGTTGCCACCCACATGACCCCAACCGAGATTGGGGACAAACTGCAACCGAGGTACGTGCCCATAGCGGGAACCGAACCCAGGTCTCTCTGGTCCTCGGACCAACACTCTAACTGCTGAGCCAAACCAGCCAGAGTGTCTTATACTAACTTTTCATACATTCCAGGTTCTTCATCATCACTGACAGGTTGGTTGTCCAAATCTTATACCACAGCCCAGGAAGCAGGATTCTCTTCTTTCTTTCTATCACTTTTTTATTCCTCTATTGTATTTGGTTCTTATTAGTACTGTTGTCTTTTGCATTGGAGATAATATTTTGGTTAGTTTGGCTGGTAAGCTAACAGGGGCTTTTTATTTATTTATTTATTTATATTTATTTATTTATTTATTTATTTATTTATTTATTTATTTATGTTACAGATGTTTCTCTTTTTTTCCCCCATTGACACCCTTCTCCCAATCCCATCCCACCCCCAGCATTATTGTCTATGTCCTTGTTGACACATGCATGCATAAAGTTCTGTGGTTTATCTCTGCCCTCCCCCCAAATCTCTTTTGAGGTTTATCAGTCTGCATCCCACTTCCACATCTCTGGGTCCATTTTGTTCCTCAGCTTGTTTTGTTCATTATATTCCACAAATAACTGAGATCATATGATATTTGTCTTTCTCTGATTGGCTTGTTTCACTTAGGATAATACTCTCC